AGAGGAGGGACCAAGGTCAGTAGGAGAGAGAGAGCCTGAGAGAGCTGCACCCTTCACTCACAGAGGGGCAGCCACGCAGAGTGAGGGGAGCGGGCAGGCAGGCAGGCCAGGGCCCCCAGGAGCCACACCAGGCTGCCTGGGCAAAAGGGTACCGCCAAAAGCCCCAGGTGGAGTGCCAGTCCCTCCCTGCTCAGGCTTGGGTAGAGGCGGAGGTACTTTGTTCCCCAAGCTGGGCCACTGCCCCTGCAGGTGGTCACGCTGGTGGGTGGCAGACAGACAGGTGGACGGAGCAGGTGCCTGGGAGGGTGCCAGGGCCTGTGTCTGTGGCCCAAAGTCCTCCTGCCCTCCTTGGGAGGTGGCTGAGCTGCCTCCTCTGAGACAGCCCCCTCCTCCCAGAGCCCACGACTCCCCAGGGGCTCACTCTGACCCTCTGCTCTTTCTCTTCCAGATGCTGCTGGTGGCCACAGGCTGGCACCAGGGCCCTGGACTTTAGAAGCCGTTGCTGCCCTCTCTGTCACCTGAAGCGGGGCCCTCTCCCATCCCACCCTTGCCCCGCCTCCCTGCCCCCGCCGGGCCGGCCCTGCCCGCCGCCGGACCCTGGCATGTCAAGGCCTGGTCCGTGCCTGCCTGCCCAGCCCGCGGAACCCCGGCGGCCCCGCGAGCTAGGATGAGGGGCCAGGCCGCCGCCCCGGGCCCCGTCTGGATCCTCGCCCCGCTGCTGCTGCTGCTGCTGCTGCTGGGGCGCCGCGCGCGGGCTGCCGCCGGAGCAGACGCAGGGCCGGGGCCCGAGCCGTGCGCCACGCTGGTGCAGGGAAAGTTCTTCGGCTACTTCTCAGCGGCCGCTGTGTTCCCGGCCAACGCCTCGCGCTGTTCCTGGACGCTGCGCAACCCGGATCCGCGGCGCTACACTCTGTACATGAAAGTGGCCAAGGCGCCCGTGCCCTGCAGCGGCCCCGGCCGCGTCCGCACCTACCAGTTCGACTCCTTCCTCGAGTCCACGCGCACCTACCTGGGCGTGGAGAGCTTCGACGAGGTGCTGCGGCTCTGCGACCCCTCCGCACCCCTGGCCTTCCTGCAGGCCAGCAAGCAGTTCCTGCAGATGCGGCGCCAGCAGCCGCCCCAGGACGACGAACTCGGGCCGCGGGTTGGGCCGCCGGGCCCCAGCGACGACTTCTCCGTGGAGTACCTGGTGGTGGGGAACCGCAACCCCAGCCGTGCCGCCTGTCAGATGCTGTGCCGCTGGCTGGACGCGTGTCTGGCCGGTAGCCGCAGCTCGCACCCCTGCGGGATCATGCAGACCCCCTGTGCCTGCCTGGGCGGCGAGGCGGGCGGCCCTGCCGCGGGCCCCCTGACCCCCCGCGGGGATGTCTGCTTGAGAGATGCGGTGGCTGGTGGCCCTGAAAACTGCCTCACCAGCCTGACCCAGGACCGGGGCGGGCACAGCGCCACAGGTGAGGGACTGGCGGGGAAACCTTCAGACGGGAGATGGGCAGATAGGGGGAGGTGAGCAGACAGGGGAGGCGGGTAGATGGAGGAAATGGGCGGACAGAGGAGGTGGGCGGACAGGCGGAGGTGGGTGGGCAGGGGAGGTGGGTGAGGGTCTTCTTCCGCAGGGCTGCCCTGGTTAGCACCGCTGTCTGGGGAGTATGCACCCTGGCACCCTCCCAGGCACCTGCTCCATCCACCTGTGCACAGAGTAAGAGTGAAGGTCACTGCAAGTGTGCAGGGCCAGCCCGGGCACTCGGTGGGTGCTTGTTGAGCGTTGAAGGCCTAATTTCCTCCAGGATGGGAAAGGGCCATCCTCCTGGCTAGGAGAGGGCCCACCCTTTCTCTCCGGCAGGACAACTTTAATGAGTCAGAGGCCGCAGGGGGCTGGGGGCGGCAGGAGCCTGTGGGGCTGGATGATGCTCCTGGGGACTCGGGCTGCGTGGAAAGGTGGGCAGGTGGGCTCTGTGGAGATGTGGTCAGGAGATGAGGTTTTGGGTTGAGTATGGTCTGGGTGGATGAATCACATCTGCCATGCGCTCTAGGTGCTGGGGCCGGGGCTGCAGCAGTGAAAACCCTCGAGATCCCTGTTCTCAGGAAGCTGCATAAGGGAGGAAGGAAAGCCCTAAGCAAGAAGACATGAGCAGCCAGGCATCGGGCAGCGATGAGAACCTTGCACAAGAACCAGGCAGGGCCAGCCCGGCACGGCAGGGTTGCTGTTGTACCTGGAGGTCAGGGAGGCTGTGAGGACCAGGGACCTTGTTCAAAGCTCGGGACAGGTGGGGGAACCTCATGCCAGGAAGAGAGAACGGCAAGTGGAGAGGCCTGGGTGGCTTTGAGGGGCAGGGGCCAGTCCTGTGGGGCTGCCAGCCTCTGGGACACTGACTTTTCCTGCTAATGAGGTAGGAACCTGCAAAGGAGCAGGGTCCTCGGGGTAGAGCCTTGTGGGGGCCCAGTGGGCCTCAGTGCAGGAGATGGGTCCTGTGCACACCTAAGGCATGGAGACCCCTTGCTGACGGGTGACGTGCAAGAAAGAAAAGGAAGCCCAGGGTTTTGGTCAGAGCATCTGGGAGGATTGGGGGATTGGAGGGGTTTGAGTTTGCAATGCCAGGCGGGGGCTGACTGCGTACCTCGAGTGTTTGGGGGTGAGGCCAGGCTGTGTACTCAAGGCTGGAGGGCCATCTTGGGGCAGTGGGACTCTTAGGGGTATCCAGGGGCCTTGACTTCTCTGGGGCCAGTGAGGCCTGTGGACTCCTCCTCAGAATTTTGTGTTTAAAGGCACAAAACAGGCTACACAGGGCTACAAAGGAAGCCAGTTATGCTGGAGCATGGTTCTACCCATGACGTGGGGCCATGGATCCCAGATGAGAAGCCTCTGTGAGGCTGTGAGTGGGGCTAGAGAGGGGTCAGGGGAAGGAGGGACAGGAATGAGGCTCGGCCCACCCCTCCAGTGGCCCGAGGAGGAGGGAGGCAGTGCCCCTGGGCAGTGGGGGGCCAGGAAGCCAAGTGGTCATCCCGTGTCGGGACAGGTGGGCACATCAGCTGTGTCAGGTGCCGCCAGTGGCTGGGTGGGAGGGGCTGAGGACCAAGCCCCCACCGGGCAGAGTGGAGGTCACTGTGGCCTTGGCGAGGGCGGCTTCCACGGTATGGCAGGGATGAGCACCTGAGAGGGACTGGGGAGAGAACAAAGCAGAGTATGGAGGGCTCTTTCAGGGAGCAGAGATGGGGCGGTGGATGGTTTGGGAGGTGGGAGGCTGCAGGAGGACTTGGCCCAGCGGTCACAGGCACACCTGGCCATGCATCTTGCTCTGCCACTCCTGGTCACTTAACCCCTCGGAGCCTTGGTTCCTTCCTTGGCAGAATACCGACTCCTTGGCAGGGTATTTCCCTCTGATTGGTGGGTCTCAAGGGCCCGGCCCAAGATTACACCCACTACTGAGAGCTGGTTGTTAGCAGCTTCAGGGGGCAGCAGCTCTGCCATTCCTAATAGTGCTCGGAGCATCGTGGAGCTTATTGGAAAGAGCTGGCGGGACAGATGCATGTGATGCATGGAGAGGCTGGGGCACCGTGTGACGTGGGTGTCGGAGGGAGCACCGAGCTTCACTCCTCACTGGGCACCTACTGAGTGCAGGCACCCTGGGGTGTAAGGTGGTCGGGCCTCCCGTGGGAGATCCCACGTTATCTTGGGAACCCAAGGGCCTTAGCAGGGCTTTGGGCAGAAGAGCCAGATGGTTGGGCTGTGAGTGCAGAACAGACGCCAGCCCCAAGGGGAAGCCTGAGACAGGCTGGCAGCCGGTGCAGGCATTCGGGAGGGGACTGCCACTGGCCTGGTCAGGACGTAGCAGCAGCATTGGGAGGGAAGAGGAGGTCCTTGGGGGTGCAGCTGATGATCGACTTACTGATGAAAGGATGTGGGCATGGGCATGGAGCTCCTCCCAGGTGTCCCACCAGAAAGGAGGATGTCGGCTGAGTTGAGGAAGTGGGGCTGGGGTGGCAGGGAGAAAAAGATCTGGAGGTCAGAATGGCACTTGAGTGTGAGCTGCCCGTGAGGCAGCCAGCTGGCAGTGTCACGTGAACAGGCAACTCTGACACCTGGAGCACCAGGACAGGGCGAGGGAGGGGCAATGGATGCTTGAAAATAGCTTCTGAGCCACATATGCAAAGCCCCAGGGCCTGGGTTCAAATCCCAGCCTGACCCGGCTTGCTGTGTCCCTGGGCCAATTCCATCAGCTCTCTCATCCCCTCAGGCCCCTCATCTTTAAAACAGAAAGAGTAAAAATATCTTGTTTCCTAGATTGCCCTGAGGAATGAGAACAGGGGTGAAGTGTTTCCGAGCAGAAGTGATGTTGACGATGAAATATCAATATCCTCTCGTATTCTTAGGCAGGGGGACTCTAGAGGGCTCAGGGAGCAGAGACAGACGGGAGGCAGGGATATTCGAGCAGCTCGGGGTGTGCAGGGAGATTCTGAGAAAGGGAATGTTTGGAAGTGGTGCTCAGAAGGAGGTGGGAGGATGTGTGTTCACGCATGTATTCATGCAAGTATGTTGTGTGTGCATGTGTGTTCACGCATGTATGTGTGCAAGTGTGGCATGTGCCCATGTTTGCATGCATGGCATACGTGTGTGTGCATATGTGCTCATGCATCTATGTAGTGTGTGTGCACCCATGTAAGTGTGGGTGCAAGTGTGTGTGTGCATGTGTGCATACATTACACACGTGCTTGTGTGCGCCACCTGCATGCATGGTGTGAATGTGTGTATCGAGGCTGGGCTCTGTGCAGCAATTTTGACAGAACACAGGTAAAGGCTGTGGGGCAGGGGCCATTGGCCTTATGGAAAGATGGCTGGAGGGCACATTGACTCGGCTGCTGGCAACATGAAGCAGGGAGCTTGTCATCTTGTGCAGCAGGGAGTGGAATGTGGTCACCCGGGCCCAGAGACTGTTCAGACCCTAATGCCCATGCCCTGTGCCCAGAAGGCCCTGATGCTTCCAGGACCACAGGAGCAAAAGTGATTTCAGTAGTAATAGTCATTTATTGAGTGTTTACTTTGTGCCGGAGGCACCCGCATTTGAACACCCCTTGAGATAAGCTCCCGTGGAGGCACCCTCTGCCTCAGGGCCTCCACGTGGCTGTTCCCTCTGCCAGAAACAGTCTTTCCCAGAGACCCGCGGGGCTCCCGCCTTCCAGTCCTCAGGCAGATGTGACCTTTCAGTGCAGGCTACCCTGAACGTCCTGTTTAAAATGGCAGCAGCTCTGGCCCCATTCTCTGGCCCTTTATTCTGCCTCTGTCTCTGCATGCATGTGTCACCTCTCAACATACTGCATAATTTCCCTTATTTGTTGTGTCCACTTCTGATTGTCCAGGCCAGGATGTAAGCAACACAAAGCAGGCATTGCCGGTTTCCTGATGTGCCCCCCAGAGTGTAGAACAGTACCTGGGAGCAGCAGGCACTCAGTCAGTCCCTGTTGGAGAAAACCAGACACAGACATGTTAAGGCAGCGGCCAGGGCCACACGGCTTGTGAGTGGTAGACTGATGGCAGAGCTACTTGATGCTGCCACCGCGTGGTAACACTAGGGCTTCTGCAGTGAGCTCTGCTCAGAGCTGTGCGTGTGTGTGCATGTGTGTGCCTGTGTGTGAATGTGTGTGTGCATGTGTGTGACTGTGTGAGTGCGTGTGCGTGCATGTGTGCATGTGTGCATGTGTGTGAATGTGAGTGCGTGCATGTACGTGTGTGAATGTGTGTGTGCGTGCACATGTGTATGAGTGTGAATGTGTGAGTGCATGTGTGAGTGTATGTGAGTGCGTATGTGTCCGTGTGTGCGTGTGCGTGTGCGTGTGGGGGATGGGGTGTCATGAGGACCAGACACATAGCTGAGTGGAGGCAGGGTCAACCCCAGATCCTGCCAGCTGAGACCTGTGCCCAGAGAGCTTTGTGCCCTGGCTGTGGGCCCCGGGGACACTGGAACGGGCTTGTCCATCCGTCGCTGTCCCTAGCAGGCAACGCACAGCCAAGTGCAGGAGCAAGCAGGCAGCCCAGGCCAGCCCATGGCCCATTTTCAGCCCTGCCCCCAACACGGCCTGTCCAAATGCCACATGGCCACGTCATGCGTCAGACTCTGCAAACACTCCTCAGGCCAAGCAACTGTTCCCCTCCACCTTGCACTGCCCCACGCTCCACGGCCCCCCAGGCTGCCAGGCCCCTCCTGCCGGCTCTCTCTGGCCCTCATCTCGCCACTGCCTCCCTTTGCATTTTTCTGCCTTGGGTGAGATGGGGCCGTTTCTCTCAAGGGTTGTTTTAAATATTCATGTTTTAATTAAAGAATTTTATTGCAGAAGCGACATGGAAGATAATGAAAAAGCAGCGTCCTGGGGCCTGGGAGCAAGTGTGTGTGTGTCCCTGCGTGCCCTTGTGTGTGTGTGTGTGTGTGTCCCTGTGTGTGTGTCCCTATGTGTCCCTGTGTGGTGTGTGTGTCCCTGTGTGTGTCCCTGTGTGGTGTGTCCCTGTGTGGTGTGTGTCCCTGCATCCTGTGTGTGGTGTGTGTCCTCGTGTGTGTCCTCCGTGTACCCACAGGGAGTGGGTATGGAGGCTGGGCTGGAACTGGGTGTGGAGTATGAACCCACACTTCTGTTGGGCTCCTGGATCCCGCAGGGGAGTGGGAGGCTGTGCTGCTGGCCAAGGGGCTGTGACCGGCCACGGAGCTGGGGTGACCTCCCCGTCCCTGCCTTGCCTCCAGGGTGAGTCAGGCTCAGCCCAGGCCCACCTGTCCAGTGACACCTCGCTCACTCCTGAGGCTGTTGGAGACAGAGTCAGGCTCAGCCCCAACCGCGGGAGCCCGGGAAGTCCTGGGAAGAGGCATCTGGAGGCCTCTCTGGGCTGTGCAGGGGCAGAGGGAGCGGCAAAGGCTGGACTGGAATTTGGAGGGGAGTCAGGACTGGAGTGGAGTTTGGGACTCCAGGTAGTCTCACGGTGACAGGGAGCACTGAGGGTCTTGGGAAGGTGCCAAGGCCTCCACTGTCAGGGGTTTCTGGCTTGGACAGGGGAGCCACTCTTTTTGCACAAGGGCCAATTTAGAAAAATCTAGAAAACAAGAAGGCTTCAGTCCCCATCACAGACAACACCCATTTCAGATGGGGATGGCAGGATGGGGCCCGCGGGGAATGATATGCATGGGCCCACCATGCCCTCAGCCCTTCACCTCCTCCGCTCAGAACCAGAACGCACCCCACGCCCGCCCGGCTGCAAGAGAGGCTGAGTCAGGGCCCTGTGTTTGGGTTCCACTTCCCAGAAAGATGGGGAGAAAGGATGTGCAGCTGGCAGCAGACAGCCGGGGTCGGGGCCTGGGAGGTGCGCAGAGACTTGTCCAAGGTCTCCGGGATGGGCCCTGAGCTTTCAGGCTTGTAAACAGGGCACCATTCTCAGGCCAGGGAGCACCTGCCTGATCAAGAAAAGGAAGCAACAGGCCGGGCGCGGTGGCTCAAGCCTGTAATCCCAGCACTTTGGGAGGCCGAGACGGGTGGATCACGAGGTCAGGAGATCGAGACCATCCTGGCTAACACGGTGAAACCCCGTCTCTACTAAAAAAATACAAAAAAATAGCCGGGCGAGGTGGTGGGCGCCTGTAGTCCCAGCTACTCGGGAGGCTGAGGCAGGAGAATGGCGTGAACCCGGGAGGCGGAGCTTGCAGTGAGCTGAGATCCGGCCACTGCACTCCAGCCTGGGCGGCAGAGCGAGACTCCGTCTCAAAAAAAAAAAAAAGAAAAGGAAGCAACAAGACTCGGCCAGCTCAGGGAGCCTCAGTTTCCCTCCTGAGAGTTGGAGACAGGACACTACCTGCTTGCAGGGCCTATGTGAGGCTTTCAGGAGATGGAGCCTTGGCAGGTTTAGGGGAACCCCACTGCCCTACAAGGTTCATCGCTCTTCTTGGCTCACCTGGGAAGTGGCCTGCCGGATGGTGGGCTCGGCTTCTCAGTCCCATCCTGAGATCCACTGGTGCCCGCCTCTGTGGCGGGGGGAATGAGGGCCGGCCACTTGGGCCCCGCCTGTAGGAGCTGCTGGCAGCAGGTGGGCTAAGTCAGGCCACAGGGAGCCCCATCCGCCCTCTGGGGCCCTCCTTTCCACGTCCGTGCAGAGGGCCCTGGTCCAGGTCTCAGAGGAGGAGTCTGGGTGCCACAGGACAGACCCTAACTCAGAGCCTGGGCTGGGGGTGGGGTCATCCCTGGGACACACTGTGGTGCCCGGGACCTGGTGGCAGAGCAGGGCGGGAATGGCGGAACTGACCCTCCAGCCCCGGTGCTGCCTGACCTGCTGGACTCGGGAGACCTCTGCTGGCTACAGACAGAAGTACACAGCTCCCCTCCAGAGGAGAGGCCGGAAGCTGGGGAGGCCCAGCTGGAGGGAGGGACACCCCCTGCGCCCCCCTGCACCCCCATCCCAGCCAACTCAGGGTGCGGGCTGTGGGGAGCTCACAGCCTCCAGTCTAGGGCGCCAGGGTGGGAAGGACACCAGGAGGCCTCTCACCAAGCACCCTCTCCCCTGGGTGGCCAGGCTGCCTAGGGCCGTTAATTGGCTCTATTCATCCCCTTAATGAGATGGAAATGAGGCTTCCAGACAGAGCTGGCATTGAGTGGGGGAAGAAAGGCGGCTTCTTTCCGGGCCTGGAGGGGCAGCCCACCCCCCAGCCTGCTTGCTGCTCCTCTGCTGCCCCTCACTGCCCACCCAGCTCAGACACACTGTGGCCACCCAGCAAAGGGTGGCTTGAACACCTCTGCGCCCTGCACTACAGACCCCAGGGGCTCCATCCTGGCTTTGATGCATTCACTGGGCAAACACTTATTGAGTGTCAGCTATGTGAGGGGACACACATAAAAAACAAACCAAGAATAAAAATAGCAGCTACCGTTTTCTCAGTGTTTATTAGTGGCAGGAGTGTGACCAAGATGAAGGATCAGTCTGTGACTGGGATCAGGGCTCAGAATGTGACAGGATCAGGAATTCCGTGTCCAGGACCAGAGGTCAGTCTGTGATGAGGATCAAGGCTCAGTATGTGACCAGGGTCAGGAATCAGTGTGGCTAGAATCCAGACTCAGTATGCATCCAGGGTCAGCTTGTGACCTGGATCAGGGCTCAGCACAGGTCCAAAGTCAGGGCTCAGTATGTGACCAGGGTCAGGGCTTGGTTTGTGGGGGCAGGGTGATCCATCCTCTGGGCCAGTGTCCCCCCTGCACAGCCTCTCCTGATGTGCCCCCGCCCCTTCTCCCCCTACCACATCCTTACCACCTGGGTCACCAAGGTAACCAGCCCTGAAATGAGTGGGTGTTTTGGCAGCTGAGGCCTAACCTGGGTCTATCCTGAAAGGCTGCGCGCTGCAGCAGTTGCCATGGGAACCGAGTGGCATCCTCCGATGAGCCTGGCTTGGACACCCTCTCTCTCCCACCCACTGCCAGTTTCCACGTCACTCAGGCTTCCGCGTGGGGGTTGGGCTGGGATGGCGAGGGGGGTGCTGCAGTACGTACCACCCTGACCCATTGCCAGGCCCGCCTCTCAGGACCCCGTCTGTGCCTTTGCCTCATAATCGGGGGGTGAGATGCCTTCAGCAGGGGAGACCACTGAGGCCTGGAGCGCCTGGGCCCCGGTCAGTCCTGGCAGGAGGCCGTAGTCTGGGGATGGATGGGGGGGGCGTTTGGAATCTGACCACCAGTTCAAGTCCAGGTTCCTCTCCTTGTCCTGAGTTGGGGCATGTGACAGGGCAGCCATGAAGGGCCTGTCACCTGTTCCCGTGCTGTGGGCACATGCCACCCTGTCCTGCCCTTGTGCCCTGGAGGCTGTGCTGGGTCCCCTACCTCCCCTGGCATGGCATGGGCCAAGCACGTTGTGGAGGAAGCAGCCAGGTGCTCTCCTCTCTGGGACCTATGGGAGTGTGGCTCTGTGAGGGAAGGGAGAGGGTTCTGCAGCAGGTGTGGGGGCCTGGAAGATTCCCCCCACCCGATGGTCCCCAGCAGGGAGAATGAGGCACCCACTCCTCACACAGCTGTGGCAGGTCAAGTCCCTCTCTTGCGTCTCATCCCCGTGCCCCTGGCACCCCCTGCTGGCCAGTCCTGGCATAGGTGTGGGGAAGTGGGGCAGGGTGGGGGGCGCTCTGGTTGGACACTGAGTTTGCTGAAAATCAAAGTGGGGCCCCAGGAATCAACTCTGACCCAAATGACAATGCCCACACACCATCCTCCCCACATGCATTTTTGCTGTTTGCCTTCCCACTGCTCAGTCCTGGGAGGTCAGCCACTATCCTCATGTTGTAAATGATGGGAGTGAGGCCAGTGGGTGGTGGAGCCACTGGGGGAACCTGGCGGCTGGAGCTCACCTGGGGTCTCCTTCAGTCCACACTCCCACTGAGGGAGGCAGGGCCCCTTCCCTGAGGCTCTGAGAGGCCCTGGGGCCCTTCTGGTGGGTCAGGGTGGCCTGTGCTTGGCCTGATTGCTGCCCCGGGGCCTCCCCTGCTGTGCCTGGGATCGAGAGGCCAGATCCCCAGTGCTCCCCAGTGGCAGCATGGGGCAGTGGCCCCAACTTCATGGTGGGTCCCCTCGTGGTGGCCGCCAGCTGTCTCCTCGCCACCTTGGCCAGGAGCAGGCACTTGGCAAGGGCTGAATGCCCTTTCCAAGTCGCCCTGACCCTGCTGCATTGGGTGTGCATTAGCCCAGAGTGCTGGGCAGGAGGCCCAAGCGGGATGCCTGGACGAGGCAGCCCCTTCCCGGCCCCCTGGTGCCGTTGCCCCTCTCTGGCCCACAGATGGCAGTGGCCCTCTCCTGCTTTGTGCTCCTCCATGGCTACCCAGTGCTCCAGGACCACGGGCACTCCAAGTGGCCCAAAGTGTTCTTGGCAGCACAAGGACCCCCGGGGAGCAGAGACTCCTGGGGCATGAGGTCTGGTTTGCTGGGGGAACACAGGTCCATAAAGGCCGTGGGCACTGTTAGGGCCGGGATGGAGGAAGACCCACCAGAGAAGCTGAACAGAGTGGCTGGGGTCAGGGCAGGGGTGTGGTGGGAAGGGGCCTGCAGGCATTTGTCCCAGGCTCCCTCGTGTGGCCAGCTGGCCAGGTCCAGGGCAGGCTCAGTCAGGCTGTGCCCTGGGTTCGAGGCCCTGGTTGGATACCAGGTGTGAGGCCTTGGTCACCACTAGTATCCCTGCGTGGGGTGAGGAAGCGGCTGCAGGTCACAGCTGGGGTGTGAAATGTGGAGCCCTGGTGATGAGGATGGCGACCCTCCGCTGAGCCCATGAGGAAACTGAGGCTCTGATGAGCAGGGCCTGGCCAGAAACTGGATGGAGCCTGGGGGCTTCCAGGCGTGCCAGGAAGGAGAGCTTTGGCGGCCAGGCCCCTCCACCCTCCGCTCACCATCAGGACGCTGAGTTGTGAGGCAGCCCTCGAGTGGGCGAAGGTCGTCATCCCTTCATCATCCTGGCAGCAAACCTGTCCAGCGGCGGTTGGCACACGGGGACCCTTCCGGCTCAGGCGTGACCTGAGCTCTCCAGAGTGGACCCGGGAGCTGGGTAGACACCGGACCCCCAGGTCCTCCCAGGCCAGGCCGTCCCCGGCACTGCGGCCCCTCCCGACCCGGGCCAGCCTCGGCGGGCTTAGCACCCCCATGATTTACCCAGTCCAGGCCACGAGCCCCTGCCCTACCCTGATCCCCGCCCTCTGGTCTCCCCCCAGGCGGCTGGAAGCTGTGGTCCCTGTGGGGCGAATGCACGCGGGACTGCGGGGGAGGCCTCCAGACGCGGACGCGCACCTGCCTGCCCGTGCCGGGAGTGGAGGGCGGCGGCTGCGAGGGGGTGCTGGAGGAGGGTCGCCAGTGCAACCGCGAGGCCTGCGGCCGTGAGTGCGGGCGGGGCGGGGCGGAGCCAGAGCCCTGGAGAGGCGGGGCTTGTGGGGGAGGGGCGGGGCCCTGGAGAGGAGGGGCCTCGAGCACAAGGGGCTGGTGGGGGCAGGGAGGGGTAGGGCCCAGAGCAACAGGGCCGGTGGAGGGAGGGGCTTAGGGCGGGACCAGGTAGGGGCGGGGCCTGGGCCTGGCAGGCGCTGGGCGGGGCCTGCAGGAAGAGTGAATAGGGTGAGTCTGGGCTCTGAGAAGCAGGACCTCAACTCGGGGCTGGCCCGTGGGAGTGGGGCCTAGCCGGGGGAGCAGAGGTGAGGGCCCCGAAGAGTGTGGTGCTTGGGGCTGGGTGGGACTAGATGGGGCTTTCTTTTTTTTGTTTTTTGGTGTTTTTTTTTGAGAGGGAGTCTTGCTGTGTCACCCAGGCTGGAGTGCAGTGGTAAGATCTCGGCTCACTGCGAACTCCGCCTCCCGGGTTCACGCCATTCTCCTGCCTCAGCCTCCCGAGTAGCTGGGACTACAGGCGCCTGCCACCACGCCCGGCTAATTTTTTGTATTTTTAGTAGATGGTATCGATCTCCTGACCTCGTGATCCCAAAGTGCTGGGATTACAGGCATGAGCCGCCGCACCCGGCCTAGATGGGGCTTTCTTCCCGTTTGTGGATTGGGGGTTTTGGAGGGTGTGCGGAAGGCTGGCTGTGGGAGCTCTGGCCAAGCCAGCCCTCCTGCCCCAGCCGGATGCTGCCTCCAGAATGTATTTCTCTAATAAGGCTCTCTAATGACCCCATGCATTTTTTAGCTGCTTCCATGAAGTTAAATCACGTTGTAATGAGACTGTCTTTGGGCTGTTTTTTCCTTGGTGAACTTTCCTGGGGAGAGGAGCTCCTCTCAGGAGCCTGGGGAGGGGCCTGGGGCATCAGCTGGCCTGCGGGACGGAGGCAGGGGCGCTGTTGGGGTGCCAGGCAGGGGAAAGCAGCCACCACTTAGTGCGGGCTGCCGTCCTGCAGGTGAATGCTGGCCTGTGGGCAATGAAGGCAGTGAGGGAGTGGGCGCAGGGTAAGGGAGACGGGACCCACAGGAAGGGTCCCCTGTTGACCAGATGAGGGCTTGTGCCAGGCTGGGCGCTCTGGTCCCTGGCTTCCCAACTGCCCAGTGGAGCCAGGTGGCCCAGTGCTGGCGGGCTCAGAGCACTGTGGCCACAGAGAGAGAGGACGGGGGCAAAGCACCGCTCCCGTGCTGACCTGAGCCCGTCCTGCAGCCGCTGGGCGCACCAGCTCCCGGAGCCAGTCCCTGCGGTCCACAGATGCCCGGCGGCGTGAGGAGCTGGGGGACGAGCTGCAGCAATTTGGGTTCCCAGCCCCCCAGACCGGTGAGCTGGCGGGAGGGGGGTGGGCAGGACTAGGGCTTTGGGAAATACTGTA